ATCACATCCTCATACCAACATCATCATCACCAACATCATCATCACCATCACCATTATCACCAACATCCTCATCACCAACAACATCATCACCAACAACATCATTATTTTTAATGTCGCCATCGTCGCTAAGTTTCTGACGTTATCCAGTGCTGTTATGATTTATTGTGATTGCCCGGCAGTGTTTGTATTATAACGACCAGCATCCAGATGTGTTTATGCACAATCGACACAGAAGTAAGAGAGATCTGTGAGTAGTCTTTTACTGATATGTGGAGCTACCAGATTCGAATGCAAACGCAATCAAACTTAGTTTAAGTTAGTTTGTGTTTATTTGTGCTATGTTTTAATGTGTTAGTTTGTGTTATGGTAATGTTATGCTGTGTTAATTTTAAATGAATTGGTATTAATTAAACGTATTTGTAATGAATTAAATTTTTTGAAAAGAATTAATTATGTGAAGATTATATGTAACAAATCAAAATAAGCGTGAAAACAAAAATAAAATAAAAAATGATCGAAACAGAAAGTTAGAAAAAGAACATTTATCAATCGGGATAACGCTGTTTTAATTTTATTGATGGTCCAGAATGCTGACGAAATTTTCAACAGAAGAAAAATTTTTAGAATAAAATAAAAAGTAAAAAACTTCAACTCAAATGTTCTGTTACTGAACGTTTTTGTTGCTCATTTGTAAAACTCGCTCTCGAAATTTCGGTTAAACTGTTCAACCATTCATTTGATTTTTTTAAAATCGTCCAAAAATATCTTTTAACATTGTTTCTCCATTTAAAATGGTGAAGTCAATTAATTTCATAAGTTTATCAGAAGTTGATAATTTTCAATATGTTAAAAAAGTATTCAGGTTACATGACCTTCAAAAAATCCATTTAGGTTGATTAAAAAGTTAGAAAAAATTAATTAAACAGGTTAAAATTTTAAAAAAGTAATTCAATTCATTTTGAAAAAAAAATCTTCGTTGGAAAAAAGTTTTGAAAAATTAAAAAGACTAACGTTAACAGGAAGTTTCATTCATAGGCATTTTCCAAAACCAATTTACTTAGTTTTATTTAGTTCAGCTAAAAATCATCATAAGTTCTGTTTAAAATTAATGTTCAAGGTTCTTTCAACTGAACTTAAC